ATATATATATATATCTCACTTATATATTATTATCTGATAACTCATATATAAAATATAGCATATTCGATATAATAAAGTACATACATGATCTATATCATCACTAATATATATATATAATAGTATTATATATAATATATACGTATGATATATAGTCTATCTACTTCTCTCTCTGTATTATTCATATCTATATCATCTCATTACTCTATCTCTATCTTCTAATCATATCATGACATATATATATATATATATATATATACTCAACATATATATACTATATATCTATATTCCAGTATATTCTATAAAAATTAAAGGTTAATCTTAACTACTTTATCTATAGTTATAAAAAATCAAATGCTATACATGCTTATATATCTATATTTATCCTATCTATCTATATACTGTTATGTATATTAATGTCACTAATAAAGCCATATCCATGCATACTCATATCACTACATGTACTATATATTACTGTATGTATACGACACACACAAACACCCCTATATATAAGTATATATAGTATTATATATATATTATTATATATTTATATATATATATTATATATGTATATATTATACTATATATGTATATAACCTTATCCTTACTACTAATATATCCCCTCCTCTGCTCATTATATATATACTCTATATATACCCCTATAATTATATCTATCTTCTTTGGAAAACATCATATCTAGCCTTTTCTTCTTTTATCCCTTCTTCCTTCTTATTATTACTATCATTGTTTTTCTTCGCTCTCTCGTGGAGGAGTGTGTAAGCAAAGTTATCGCCGCACTTTCTCGCAGCGAATTCGGTCCCGATGTCTGAAGTGCTGAGTTGTAAGAATTATTTTTCTTATACACGAAGCGAACTTATCTAAGCTTTCTAACCCGTTTTAACAAAGCATTAAATTGCGAATTGTAGTTCCGCAGAAAGCATGTTGTCTGGCAGTGTCCTCCTTCGTTCAGCGAATAAGCCAACGAATGTGTTCTTCTGTTCAAATCGTATCTGAGGGTGTCCAGTTATTCAGAATAAATACTCCTCTTGCTGCTTAAGAAAATATACAGCAATTATTTGCAGAATCAACAGATCGAAACTACATTATGCAAATCTTAAGAGTAACTTACGTTGTGTCACTACTGCGGCTATACTTTACGATCAGTCGAAGCAAAATCGATTTCCAGACTCCTTTTAACTGCGACGCCTTCGTTCC